TAGAACTCAGCTACCTTTAAAAAATAACAAATGTTATTAATTTTCATTCAAAGTTGTGAAAAGTTAGCTTAGCTTGCTAATATTATCGAAAGGAATTAATTCACATACATCTATGTCAACTAAAACCGTGGTTATATTCGGTTCTATCCGTTTTCTAGTTGGTATATACAGAGAGAACAGACTGAACATAATTTAAGTACCGAGGGACACCAAAAAGTTGATTTATATCGTTGAAATACTCAAACTGAATGTGACAACAAAGCGTTTTCAGTAAAAGAGTTCATATACTTAGTCTACCATAAAGTTAATTTTGAATTGTTTTAAAATACAATTAAAAAAAAAATCTTTTTCTCACAATTTGAAAAACGTTTTAAGAATCGTTGTTCCGAAAAGTGGAATGAAACATGTAATCACAAAGTTCAATAAATGTCTACGTTATATATACTAATTTCTTTTTGGCAAGCGTTATCTTCAACACAGATTTATACCAGCTAATGAATAGGATGCACTTACAGAAAAAAATTGTATAATCCATGGTATGAGAACCTCTCAGAACGTTATAGTGAAGCTGGCGCTTAAATAGAATGTGCAAGACTCGCTTAGAGCAGTTGACCCATCTATCACCTTAATTCACCTGGAGTGGCAGGGCAGATTGATTTGGATTGATTTTGTTTAAAATTTATTTAAAGAAAATTTGTACTTTTTTCTGGCGTATCTCCGGTGACTGGCCTTGACCGCATCACCTAAGGACATGCGTCTATAAACATGAAAATGGTTATATAGCCATGATAGTGGCAAAGTTCTAGTTAGTAGATAAGTGGAGGATCGGACACATGAATAATAAAATCTAATCATTATATTAGTTTATAACTAACAGACCAATGAGACTAAATTATAGAAAGATTAAAGAGTTATATTTTTCAAACATCTCAATAAAACATAATTGTCCTTTTGAAAACTTAAATTAATTTATAAACTTTCAATTTAAATAGTTGTTTTATTTCAAAGAAATTATAATTGTAAAGAAAATATATTTCTTCCTTCAAATCTGAAAAATTCGCTACTTTTCAAAATGAAGTTAACCTAACCAGTAACGCTTATTCCGCACAGCCAAGCACACCAAAAATAACCTCTTGTAAATGTTTACACCAGAAGTGTCGTACAAAAACTAAAGCACCGGAAAGGGATTCGCAAGTTTTCGGAGTGATAATCATATTTGACTCGCTTCACGCTTCCATCGCCAAACTTGGCGCTACACTTTTGCTATTGTAAATTCAGTTACGAATCAAAAAAGAAGAAAAATGTTTGTTTTCGAAGTTGTTTATTATTTTTGGCTTTAAATTACTACAAAGTATCAGTAAAAGTTTTTATATTGGATAGAAGTATGAACTTTGCCTCAACAACATATCACCAGGAGAACAACAAAGAGCGACATGACAATCTTCTAACAAAATAACTACAGCGCAATATCTCAAGCAACATGAATAATTTCTACTGCAAAAAATGTGTAATTGTCTGGTAAGAAAAAAATTTGAATCTGACAGACCCTAGGGAGTAGCTATATTGTACTAGAGTTTTTCAAAATTTGCCTAAAGTTTTTGAAAGTCAGTTAGTTTTGAGATATGATTAAGCAACAATTGGGGCATTATCATTACGTGATGCCATTATGATAATTTTTTCTCCAAGCAACAGGGGAACTAAAAAAGGTTCGAATTTTGCGATATTCTATTAATAAAAATATTAAATAATCTTATCATTTTAAATATATACATAAATAGCACTGACGATAAAGACTTAATTTAAAAAAAATTTGTTTCACAAAAATATTATATTGAATTATTATATTATATTATATTAATAATATAAATATATATATTTTATATATAT